TTTTACATGAGAAAAATATAAAAAAAACTAAACTATTCATCCTTATTATTATAGTTAACCCAACTTTCGCAATTATTGGACTTAAGACCTTCTACCTGAGCACCATAGAATTATTAAAATAGAATTTCAAAAAAATTACGTCTTAGGTGAAGTAGTTTATAACATTTGTTTTCAATAACTAATTATACAGATGTTTAATTAACATTTAAAAAAGTGTTCTAATCATTGTGAAAATAATTTTTTTTTCTGCGCTTTATTTCTTACAAAATTAGTAGGATCGGCTAAGTTAGTTATAATTTACAAGTAAACAATAAACATATTTAAATTTATTGTGAAAATGTTGCTTACACTTTTATTGCCTTTGCAATTTGTATGCATACACGAATTTGTTTGTGTAAGTATAACAGTATCCATTATTATATTATTATCGATTAAGTATTATTATTATTATTTTGAACACGCGCCGATATAATAGGATAAAACATCGCATAATGTTTTCACAGGAACTACATTATTCATATGATCCTCAGACGTTTACGATACTATATATATACAAAAGTCAGAACTTCGTAATGTTGTTTTTGACCTTTAGTTATTAATACAATATAATTGTATACATATATTATCCACTTCGACGTACCCACCTTATATATATTAGTATTGTGACATTTTTACAATAATAGTAATCATTTTTAAGCTCTACACGACAACAATAAAAATGAACGTAGGTTGTTTTTATATGGCCGAAAATAGACGTATAATATTATAACCACTTATTATTTCGACAAAAATATTAGAATAATTGGTCTTAAAAATGAAATGTTTCTTTTTGTAATTTATGAAAAGCCAATTATATGAACGAATGAAATTAAATGTATTAATTTAAAAACAAATAGGTTGGCGGGTGACTTCAAGACTCTGAAAGTCATTTGTTATCGTTACACTGTACGCTTAATATAGTACCATGAGCGTTTTTTTTAAAGTTTAATCCATTTTTTGTAGGTAGGTTTCATTGTGACCTATATACTTGAGCGTTTTTCATTTGTCTTGTCGGTGTCGTTGTTAAACTTAACTAGGTAGGCATTTGCGTTTTAATATTGATATTATTTCCGGTTCAAACAATTTAATAATAATGGATGTCCAACAACAACAAAAATAATAAACTAGAGTGTCGGTCGTCCGGACATGATGCTAGATTGGATTATACATGATTTAGTGGACGCCTAGAGTTAACCATAACTTTGTTCTCAGAATATTGTGCGTTATTTTTTAAAGGTATTCAAATATTTTTGGTATATATTTTATTTATTTTTCTCCAACAGCATGTGAGGTTGGTTGAGAGGGGTTTTTTGCACCGAGTGCGTTCGAATTTGTGAATTTTCTTTAAAGGCTGTATTTTGTTGACACCTATTGTACTTTCCATGCGATACCGGTAAGAGTTCAAAATGAAAACCTCTTTACAATAGATTTGTTTACGTTTTAAAAATATACAAATCAAAAACGGATAAAACGCAAACATTTTTCAACACACGAGTACGATTCAATTATTACACAACGAGAAATCGTTTAGGATAATTTGGAATGTGCAAAACGAAGCAATAATTAACACGGAGGCGTGTGTTTAATGGCACGGATTGAGGGTTGAACGGAATCAATCTCTGTTTACATAATGAGTTATTAATATTTTCAACGTTGTAATTACGTGACTAAAAAACGATTGCGGTATTTCCTTATGACAGATGCTCGAAAACAACATCAGTTAAACTATTCTTTTAATATTCAAAAACGATATTAAATCGAAAATGAAAAACGTCGAGATATTACAAGGTAACGTCCTACAAATAGAACTTATGGTATATGATTAAAAAAAAATGTTCAGTTGATAATAATAATTATAAATTGAACACAATTATAAACCACCCCACGCCGCCTCCATTTTGCAAAAAATCTATGCCAATAATTTGTATGCAATGTTATTGATTTAAAAGTATACAATTTTTTTCTTAATCATTAACTTTTCTGGTATGTTATTGTATACAACGAATAATTACACTGGATCAGATAAAAGTAAATGATATAGTATCATCATCTAAAAAGTGGTGAGTCATAGAGATTACAATAATTTCAAGTTGCGCTTTAAAATAGTAAAATAATAATAAATATTCCATAAGGCAAGATAAAGTCTTCTAATTTCGGCATTTCAACGGATGAAATCACAAACTTATGTTAAAGAGATTGACGGTAGTAAAAATATCAACAAAACGTCGCGTCGTCGTATTTCGCAATAAATAAAAATAAATTATTATTTTCCCTCAAAATCCTTCCCAAAACCAAATCTATTCTGTTATCTTTGTCTGTAACCTAACCAGACGAACGCCCAACAACGACCAAAATCAATTTGAGTTGATATCGTTTCGTAACACACTATGTCTTTTGCACCAAATCCGTAACTTGGGATAAAATTTAGTATTTCGAAATTAAAACGTCGACAGTCAAACCATCAAGTATAAAGCAGCCGGAAAAATGATCAAGTGCGGTTTTAGGTGAAGCACCTGCTCTGTTTAAGCTGCAAAAGGTACAATCGCTTAATGAGAGATTTGGATGCTTGATAGGGCGAATAATGCGATTAGCTTGAAAGACCAAAGTTTAATCAATGCGATGGGAAACTGTGAATTTTTAGGACGTAATCGAGTGAAGGATTAATCTGGCAAGAAGAGATCAATAGGAATAATCAGAGAAATAATAGGAGTCACTTACTATGACGAAAGTTGCTGCTTTAGAAAACCTTTTTTTTTAGTTATTTTAATCAAAGACAATAACCTATAAGTTTACTACTAAACAGTTACCATCAAAATCAGGTTTTAGCTAAAAATGAGTAAAATTTAAATAAATAACTATTTACTTATAAGTTTAAATCATTTATGAAAATAAAATTAATTTTGATCAAAATTCAAATCATAAATACATTTTTATTTAAACAAATATTTAAACGACTAACAAAAAATATTCAGTACTTTAAAACTAAACTTACAAATAATTAATAAAATGTTAATAATTTTGATTTTGAAAAACAATTTAACCCTTACAATATCGATACATGGCAATATATACCAAACATTAATAAATGCTATACATATAACACTGAAAATCTTTGAAATAAAACTAAATTGAACAGAAAAGGTATTGAGCTACCGACCGGTAATAAAATATATTCGGTCGATAAATCCGTAACTTAAATAAAACAAAGGTTGGAATGACTTTTTGTGTACACGGTTATAAAAAATTAAGTATACTTTTTTAAAGCGTGCTTTTCATAAAAGTAAGATTACCTTTTACACACTTCCCTTATTCATTATAGTATCATAAATAACTGCTTAAACAACGACCATGATTATATGAGACCATAATAAACGGTTACATTTAGTTAATTACTTTTATTAAATTCCAGCAGAAAGTAGGACAAAAAAATCATGACTTATGATACTCTAAATCACGCCGGAAGATTAATATACAGTTAAACTTTATGATATCTTAATTATCCTTGACAAAAATACTTATTTACAAAAGTCTTCCAAAGTGTATTTGATGTAATACAAAATGTAGATGAAAGTAAGTAAGTTAACATTAATGTATGTTGACTTACGAATTTTGTACTCGTAAAGTATTTAAATACTCTTTGACGATGTGAAATACTTAAGTTTTCGCTTTACTGTATAGTATACAGCAATAAGTTTATAGGAAGCTAAATATTATGAGCAAAGTTTAAAGTGGGATGAAAAATAAAAAGATAGAGAGGGGAAGAGAAAGGAAACTTAAACAATTTTGGATGTTATTATGTGTTTGGTATTCGAATACCATTTTACATAAACAAAAATCGGTTATGTGCAAACTATTTTTAATAAAGAATTTGCATTAAATAAAACATTTAATTTGCAACGGCTATTGATAATATGTTAGCTTTATTGTACTAACTGCGCATTTCTAACGGAATACTACTACAAAAAAAACTCCCATTTAAGAAACAATGTTTGTATTTATATAACTCAAAATAATATTATGTTCTCCAAAACGATCAAATAATTATAAAATAAAAAGCCAGTGCAATGGGGTTTGGGATCATAGTAGGACAGAGGTGGTTAAAAGGCCTTCCATAATTATTTAACAAAGAAAGTGATAACTCACTTTCCAATAAACGCTGCGATGCGAATGTTATCCAAGCAATGAGAATAATTGTATTTTTAGTTTTAATGTGGATACAAATTAAGGTTGATCGCGCGACTATAATAATTTGTTTTCGTCGTTTCTCATACATCGTAAATATAACAACACAATGAAAATACTTTTCAGTTATTTATTGACAGTTGATTCACTCAACCTAAAAATTGTATAATGGTCAAAGTGTAGATTTCCTTTTTGTTGGGGGGACTTCCTTAATAAAAAAAAAGTTTGACTGTATATTTGTTAGTATATGTTATAATTTCATACTAGACCTACTTAATGTTTAATTTTCAGACTTTAATAAAACTGCATGAAAAAGTGAAATAAAGAAAAAGTTCCCCTCCCCTTCTAGGGGATAGGGTTTGTGACATTTTTTAGTTTATCAACGTTTTTCGATAGTCAGGAAGTATATTCCATACAAAGTTTCAACAAATTCCACTATTTTTATAATTTTAGTAATTTTTTGTTGAAAAATGTGTACCTACATTTATTTAGTATTTTTCTCGATTTTAAAGGGGAGGGGTAAACTTTTTAAATGTTTTCTCCAGTAAAGTACCGTTCTAATCTATAAAGTTACTACATGGAAAATTCGGTTCAGAGGTCTAGAAGATATCGTGGATCGATGTACGCATCGAAACTAAAATATATTTCTTGTTACTTTAAATCGGCTGTTATATTACAATAATTATATTTTATTATTGTTTTATTTTTAATACATTCAATAATTATATTAACATAGCTGTCGGTTTTATATTGATTTTTATATTTTTTGCTTCGTTTAGATTCCTTAGCACGATACGGTAAGTGGTCCAGATCAATCAGATATTGAAGAATAATTAGAAGAAATTCACCCTCAAACCCGAATACGTCTGTATAACAAATTGATATAACTTATAATGCTTTTGCGTTCGGAGCCGGCCAAACCATACGCATATTGTTATTAGTATTATAGTGATTAGCACAACTGATCTGAAGGTGGCCGTCGCCAAAAAATTGCATTTTATTTATTTGTATTTTTAACAGTAGTTACAGTTCTAAATACACAGTTACCACAATAGTCATATTGTGCGTGGACGGAAAAACGTCAGCAAAGTTCCGCCTTACACGAGATGATTTAGTACTACTCAAATTGACTAAAATTAGATTTTTCTCTTAAAGAAAAATAGAAATGCATTTAAACGTACAGTTGAATACTTAGTTTGTTTTCTTTTTCCAAAACGTACGCAATTAGCTACATATACAAATTGTCAAATTTAGGTAGAAAAAATATTATCATTACTTAAGACGACTACTTTTTTTTTATCTATTGAATAGCTCTCATTTAATGAGCATATTGGGGTAGTTTAACTAAATTTTATTAGATTTATGTAGGTAGTAGGTACTATTAAGATGACGTTATACCCCCTATTTATTAAGGAGTTAGGTATAGGCAATTTTTTGTAAAATCGTAATTTAAAGGCTAAACTGTAATGTTTAATTATTAGTTAAGTAATCTTGACTCTTTTTTGGTAGTTTATTTATTTTTCGAAATCTCACAGCATCATTGACAGCGATTTAAAAAAAAAATTCATCTAAACTGGCTCTTATCAACTAAATAACAATCGTAGACAATTTTTTTTTTTACATATTTAAAATAATCAGAACTTTATCTAGGTTCTCTCGTCGGCTTTTTTCGGTATTATTAACCCAACATTCACAATTTATATTTGAATTCTAACATTTTTTAAACTTTTTTAAGTGCTTTTATTTAAGGTAAAATTAATGTTTTCCCTAAAAACCGACGAGAGAACCTAGTTAAAGTTCTCCTCTTTTTAACGGTACCAACATTTTTATTCTATGACCAATTCGTTTTAACTTACACGCTTTACCATAAACCCATTTTTTACGATTATTTTTAAAGGGTATAACGTCCTATTAAAAACGTGAAAACTACTTATTGATCGGTAATCGGTTATGTAAAAAATTTGTTTACAAATTGTGAAACGCTACTATTAATGATCATCCTCACTAGTTTGAATTAGTGTTTAAATATGCTTTATATGAACGGTTAAGTTACGTTAGGTTAGGTAAAATCAAAACGTGTTAAACTACAGCACATAATTTTCAAGCTAAACAGGTGAATGACCATTATATTAATATTTAAAATTGGTTACTAGCCAATAAAACATTTAAACTTTTTTTCCTTAAAAATTGTCAGTTTTCAAATATATTCGAACATATTCAGATAAAATATAGTTAGTTATATTATTTTATTAGTACCCTAGTTTATGGTACTAGTAATGTATTTGGTTATGATATTTATTCTTTAAAGTGTCTGAAAGCATAAACAAAGTTTTTTTCTTTATACATTTAGGCTATTATTTTCTATTTCCATCGCAAAAATTTTAATCTAAACATAGTTTTGCTTCTATTTGATATTTATAATTCGTTGCTCACATCATTAATCACTTTTGGGGGGCGCCACTCAAACTCGATGTATCAAAGTAATTATATAAAAATATGGTCATTCATTTATAAATATGATAAATTATACGATACGAATATTAATGGACATCAAAATTATTTTTAATTTTACATTTTTTTTTTATGTATACTTACATTTATACCAAAAATAGCTCTCTCACTTATTACGAGGTATTTGTTCAGACATTTTTTTATTTAAAAGACATTTCACAGAAAAATCAAGACCGTTGTTTATTGCAATTTTTCGAATAGTGTTATTCTGAAATTATTTAAAACCCTAAAACAAATAAAAAATTGTAGTACAGTAAATAAAAAAACATAAAGAAACTTTTGAACAAAGAAATTTGAAAACAACACTGTTTACTAATCGAGCTGGATTTTTCGCTCAAGTATAAAGTTTTTAAAATTTTACCGAAGTATTTAGTTAATTAAATTACCTAAGGTATCTCTTCGCTTTTATGGCTCAAACACATTGCCAAAATTGCTATAATTTCCCGACAGCTTAAAATGTATGGCTGTAAAGTGTTTCTGACTAACTTTTTTTTCACGCTGCTGGCCTGTCGTCTGTCTTTTTGGCTTCATTGATGATTATAATATTGTGCAATTTTTTAGGGTGTTATTTTTGTTTGTTTTATAAATAACTCATGTTTAAATTATATATTATATATAACGTAGTTTTGGTTTATTCTTTGTAATATAATACGCTATCAAAAGGCTGATGTGGAAGATGATAAGGAAAATATTTGATTACTTTCAGTGGCTGTTATAGTTACTGTTATAAAAATTAAGGTGAAGCCTTCAACATAAGATACTATTTGCCTTCTTATTTCATGAACCATGAAAGACTATAATGTTTTCTTTCATCGGCTGATTTCCCTGTATTCTCCTTTTCTTAATTTTACGAAGTGGTTTGTCTCATGTGGATTTTTCTCAAAAAATGCCATAACAAAAACCTAGTATTTTCAATTAATAAAAAATAACAACTCCACGCTCGTTTGATGTTGACGTCATTATAATAATATTATAATGTTTTTGATATTATTCTTGGTTAGGCACAGTCTGAGGATACGCGTAGCAATATTGCATACACACAACGCCGCGAACGACAACAAACCAAAATAAAATGATACATTATTGTTGTTACAAGAGCGGCTTTTGGTGGAATTAAATTATGATCTGAAAGCCTAAAATAATGTTATTATATTATGCTGAACAATTTGCGCGGCCGTCTATTTGCGTGCTAACTATACGGTTTGTATATCCTTCACAAGGAAACGGCAATCGGTATTTTTAATAGGTTTTGGCGCTGGCTACTTGTTCGAGTGTGGGTGGCTTAACAACAGTATAGCAACAGCTGGGTTGCTCTATCTTTCTCTCTCTGAGATTTTGGCACGCACGCCATTGACCTTGCCCGAGTCGTTTTTAAGCTTATCAGTTATCACAGGAAACGCAATACTATTTACAATGTCGCCGAATTAATATAAATGTATGTATGTATATTATTTTTTATTAGTGCGAACAAAAATGTATAAGATACGTTTATTTATGAAAGGTGCTAAGTACAAAAAAAGTAAACATTAGGAAAGTAGTTTAACCAATAAAATACATACTTAAAACTATACAATATACTTTTTACATTATAAATATATATGTAAACCATAATATCAATTTCTCAGACATATGACTTCAAATTAATTTCAAAAAATAAATTGAGAAAAAACTGATTATGGTGTTACCGACTTTTGAAGTTAAATATAACAACAATAATTTGGAAAAATAAACATTATTATATGAGCGACAGGCATGTTATTTTCAATAGTTATAATTTTATAATTATAACTATATTCATTCTTCTTAAATTCCGCAGAAATTTATATTGTCAATAAGAACTTAACAAAAATGTGTTTAATTGTATTACATAAACGTCTTGTTTTATGATTAAAAATCTTAGATTAAAATTAAATATTGTTCATTGTTTTTGTAAATTTGATTGAGTTTTATATATTTTATCCTATTTTTTAAACCAAGTTATTATAAAATAATAGGATTTGGTGGTTGTATATTTGTATAGTTTGTGTCTTATATACATATCGAAAGTTTTGAACTCATTTTTACGGAAAGAACTTTTTACCTTTTGAAAAACTTATACCGAATTAACTTCAAAGTTTAAAAGAGACAAACTTTGACATATATTTCTCACCGTGTACACAAATGACAACAGCTAGGTTTATTAAGTATAATTCGTAAATAAACTTGATATTTCTTTTAGAAGTTTTCAACATAACATTGTTACAATATTTTTTTTTAGATAACACTTTAACTATCCACTAAACCTTATAAACAAAAAAAAATATCGACGCCAGTAAAAAATATATTTATTTTCAAATTTTCATTAAAAAATATTGTCACCTCTTCTGTAAATACAATTATTATTACTTATAATTTCAATGAAATAAATTAAATCTCTATAATTACAAATAGGTTTTTATTATTTATTTTCTTCCGGGATCTAGTAAATAAACAATGTTAATTTGTTTTTTAAAACTTTTATATTATACTATTAAAAAAAATACCCAACCAACAGCTATGAGTGATTTATAGCTTTATAAAACTATAACTAATAAATATTTTTTTAAACTGTTTATGCCTAAGAATATTTCAAAAACATTTATACGATATTTTTTTAATTTATACTTTGCTGTCTAGGATTTAAAAGCCAGTTATTATTTATGGTATTTATTTCCGGTATTACTTTTTGATTTTGAGTTTTACGATTCGACTTGGGTTAATTTAGGTTTAAATCCGAGCCTAAAAACATTACTAATGCATTTTCGACTATGAAATACTCTTTTAAAAATAATAAACGATTATTAGCATGGAGTTATTCATTTTTTTTTTAATTAGGTTATAGAAATATAGTAAAAATCGACGAACGTAAGTTTAACCACTTAAATATGTGACTTTACCACATTTTTTTCATCTAAAAATATATTTACGGAGAAAAAAAATCGTTTGGGATCATAATTATTGCTAATTGCCCAAACGGGGAATTAAATTCTCAAAACATAATTTTAACGGAATTAAAGGGCTTTAAGACCCATGTAAGGACCACTCAAATATAATTTATTAGATTTCGATGTAACGTGATTTACACAAGTACATAAGTCCATTAACTTTGCAATGGAAGCTCATGAATTTTTGTGAGCTTCGACGGCTAATTGATTCGAACAGCGAGACGTCAAAACAATTTATAAAGGGCTGTATACAATATTATGAGATATGATGATTACACAGTGCAGTGGCAGCTAATATAAGCGCAACGCCGGATGATATATTG